GGGAATGTCATATGATTTATTGAGTACATAATGCATTGTAATATTTATAAATAGTATTTAACAACCATTAATAGATTTTTTTTATAAATATATAGATGTTTGTGTGTATGCACTTTAGACAACACTATGTAAGATAATTATAAAAATTACATAGTTATAATGGACAATTAGGAACCCAATTATACTCTAACGTATCATTATACTATTATATAGTACTAATTTACTGCCCTCTAATACACATTTACTGCTACGTAGCGGTTTCCAGATTTTTGGTCTTGGAATACCTTAAAAATCTGCAATTTTTTAAGTTACCAGGAAAAAAACAAGTATTTCTTTCTCTCCCCAACCCAAATTTGGCATTTTGCAGCCAAACCTCAAATACTACCAGAGGCCCAGAAACTAAATTCTCCCTGTCACTGTAGTAACAGGTTAAAATTGCAGCACTGTGTGCCCTTGCAGTGATGCCAAGAGGCAGCTTTATCTCACTTGAGACTAAGGCATTGAGTAAGACACAAATCACCTGCCCAGCCATCTAACTCACTGGACCTCAGCATCATGACTTTTAAAATGCAGTTTTGATCATTTTATACACATTTTCTCTAGGACTGGAATCCTAGAAACAGTATGCAAAGGTGTCAGGTCTTACTGGTTAAAGGGATAAAACTCCTGAAAAAGTTTTCTATGCTGTTAATACTTGTAATAACCTTTCGCATAAAATATTAAGTATTCCTTAAAAATAATATCTTCCATAATAGTTGTCTCAGGACTCCTGGAAAAGCCTGCAGAGCTCAGCAACATCTTAGCCAATTTTGATAATGGTTCACCCCAAACTTAGACTAACAAATCTTTGTAGGACACCACTGCATGGCCCTTTTTACTGAAAGAGGGTGTTGTACTGGAGTATTAGACAAGTGCACTGAAAATGTTTTGTGAACTGTGGCTCAGGTGATGGCAACTGTTATAATCTGCACTCAGTTCACCTCTACAAGGAAAATCATAACAAAAAATGCATGACAGCATTAATAAAAATTCTAAGACTGGTTCTTTATGCAGAATCTACTTTTAAATATGTCCACAGTGAATGTTCCTTCATCTTATAGTTTAATATTTAAACAAATTCACTCAGTGTTCAATGAGAAGTCTAATTTCTAGACATAATTGCATGGAAATAACTTCTGTAAATAGTGTGCACTGCAAAGGTTTTAGAAGAAATACCTACAGGCATCCACTATAAAAGATCAGTTTGGAGAAATTCAGGATACACATAAAATGACCAAAGCTTTTTAATACCATATCAGTGAAACCATCAAACTCTTGCTTAGATGAACACACCTAGTGACTGTCAAAGCAAAAAGTCCTTGTGTACTGCAAAAACAGGATTTCCCCTCAGCTATTTTGGCTTAACTAAGGCTTTCAGACAAAAACAGTAAAAGAAAACAATTCTATTATTTAAAAAAAAAAATAAAATTAAAAATTCAAAGGACACAATGGAAAAAACCAGCAATATTTTGGAGGGGCAAGAGAAAAGAAAACAAGAAGAATGAGAGGAGAGAGTGATTAAAGCAAAATAAGACTCCCAAGAACATACCCTTAAAAATTCTCCCAATATTTCCTCTAAAACACAGGTTCTTTGGAAGTACAAAAATTTTAACGGACCAGATGCCAATTCACTACTCAGACTGAGAACTTTGGATGCTTAGTCCTATTCCTTGATTTGAACAAAGGCCACTTTGGTAGACTGAGGTTTAATCACATTCAGGGTATGCAGATCCAATCAAGATCAAGAGCCTGCCTGGTGCTGGAGAGCTGTCTCATCTCGCTGTAATCCTTGCTCTAGTCCTAAAGCTCAAACTCATTCACATTCCCTTTTTTCTTTTCCCACTGCAACACTCAACCATCTTTCATGCCCTATTCACCTCTGTCTTCCAGGAAATACAGCAGCTACCCAGCAGTCTGGCCTGGAGGGCTGTCCCATGGCCTGAGGAGTGAGTTCCACTCAGCAACACCTCCCTGTGGAACATTCTAAAGATTCTGATGGTTTTATCTTCTCCTTCTTGTAATTTTTCATTATTTTTTTCTGAACTTCAAACACATATTCTTGCTGCATATATTTCTCCTCGTATTACAGAATGCTGTGATGCAGAAATCATGCTGACTATCTGACACAGCAAGTTGGCACCAGACAGGTGATTTCACTGCAGGATCACTCAGCAAAAAAGCAAGGTCACAGGAATGAAATGAACTCCCACTTCCAGCATAGCTACCCTAAAATATGAATCCAAAAAGTCTTATATTTTGCAAGACTGTATATTTTTTAATCAAAATTTACACTTGTCATGATGATATCAGCATATGTGAATGGTTTTTCCAGGTCCCTTTGAAATAAAACTGAGAAAAACAATGCTCTGAATCACGATGGTATAAGCAAGTACATGCAGACTTTTGAATCCTTTGATCTAGAGTTCCTGTTTAGCTCTTGTCCACCTCTTATAGGGTAAGAGCTGACTCAACTTTTTAAGAGCTGAACAGGAAAATATTTTCATATGCCAAGAACATTTTTTTGCCCAAACTAGATAAGAAGTCCAAACTTCAACAGCAACAAAATTGCAAATTATAGCTTCAAAGATTTCAACATAAATTAACCTAAATATGTTGTTGATCAATTCTGATTTCAAAATTACTTTTTTAGTTACTAAAAATTAAAAAATATTACCAGACAATTAATAATTCTGAAAAACAGCAAATACTAACACTGATAATTTGGATGTAAATAGGGAATGAAAAATTTTCAACTGAAATATTTTCCAAAAGCTGTTGTTTTCATGGGTTGTTTCTGTTTTAAAAAGCAGCTGAAATTTAAGTCTAAAGTAATGCCAGGGAGCTCTACATCAAACATAAGAGTGACTGAAGTGGATGAAACACAAGGCCCTTCTAGTTCAACCCCCAGCAGTGGTGACCAAAAGCAGGGGCATGTTCAGCATAAAGCACTTCTTCCCCCATGTCATCAACCATCTCCAGTTCACAGATCTCCTGAGGAGGCAGTGCTGTCTTTGTGTTCACTAATCCTCACTGGATTCCTCTTTTACACTTCCATTTTCCAACTAACCTTATACAAATGCTTCATTCCCACAACACACCCAGTGAGGAATTCCACAGATTAACTACATGTCTTGAAGAGAACCATTTAATCATCTTTTCTTACCAACATATTCTGTTATCAAATAATAATCCTTATACGTTTCTCCCAGTACCAGATGTAATGCTCCCCTCATGCCCCCATTTCTTCCACACCATTTATGATTTTAGACCTCTATACCACATCACTCTTCGTTGTCTTGTCTCCTGGCTGAAGAATACTAATCTTCTCAGCTTCACATTTGTCATTATTCATTTGCCCCTTCCTCTATGTGATAACATCAAACAAACAAATATATTTCACCCAGGCAATTTGTGACTATTTCTTCTTTTTGTTTTTTATATTATGGAAATGCAGTCTCCAAATTAAGCATCTGAATACCTTGGCAGAAACCCTGGCCAAAAAAATTTAGTCGTGCATATATTTGAAAGGAAGCAGTTTCATGAAGGGTGAAAGTATTGTTTCCGAGATTTACCTGCTTTTAAATCTTACTTGAAACCATGAAAATTTTGGTTAGGTAACAGATGGAGGAGAGACAATTATTTGTTAACATTAATTTATAGTAACAATTGAACATCTATATTATTCCAGTTCAAAGCATTCCTGGAAAGACACACTGTAATTATTCTTCCAGCATTCTGGTTAACGACATTCAGATTAGGCCAGATTAAACCACTGGGGCACTAATTTCAATTTAGCAACTCTGCATCACACAAATAGCATTTAAATGATCATATTTAGAAGCATTTTACTTTGGATGGGAGAATTAAGAGGCCAGTATATGTTACCCCTAAATAATGGGAACAGCAATGAGCTGTTCCTCAGTTGTGGGGCTCCTCCTGCACACGAAGATGGTGAAGGGCCTTGAGGGGCAGCCCTGTGAGGGGTGGCTGAGGATGCTTGGTCTGTTCAGCTGGAGAAGAGGAGACTGAGGGGAGACCTCAGTGCAGTTACAACTTCCTCAGGAGGGGAAGAGCAGGGGCAGGCACCGATCTCTGCTCTGTGGGAATCAGGGACAGGACCCCAGAAAATGGTCTGAAGTTGTGTCAGGGGAGGTTTAGGTTGGATCTCAGGAAAAGATTCTGCCCCCAGAGGGTGGTGGGCACTGAACAGGCTCCCCAGGGCAGTGGGCACAGCACCAAGGCTGCCAGAGCTCAAGGAGCGTTTGGATGATCCTCTAGGGTACCTTCTGTGACTCTTGGGCATGGGCCTGTGCAGGGCTGAGGGTTGGACTCGATGATCCTTGTGGGTCCCTTCCAACTCAGAATATCCTGCAATTCTGTAGTCACACAACAAAACGGAGAGTTTTGAGAATCAGCATTCTTCTGTGAAGTTTTCACCTGATATAAAAAGACAAAAGGAACAGCTAACAGTTTGGAAGGTGGGTGTTATTTCTTTGCCTTGTGTTCTAACCATCACTTCAATTCTTAATTCTAAATAAAGGAGATGTGAAAAATAAGTTTTGAAATTTCACATTATAAAGGAGGGTTTTATGTGGAAGAGAACGATTAAAAGAGTATGGCACAAGAATCAAAATAGGTGATTCTTTTGAGAATTTTGAAGCAACCCAGTGTTCAAAAGCAGTGACTGTAAAACAAACTTAGGAAGAGGGGGAATAAAAAATACATACTCTAAAACATATAAGTAATAAATACATAAATCAGAGGAAAGCAAAAGGATAACCTACTGGTTTTTTTCTCTTAAAGAAGACATTACACTACACTTTACTTCTCCTTCTTTTGAAGCCATTAAATAGAAATGCCTTATTTGATTCATAAGTAATTTGAGATCTATCTCTGAGACATACAACAGCAAGTAGAAACCAAAACATGGTTTTTAACCTGTTTTGCCACCTTTTTCCAAGGTTTTCTAGCAAGAGTTACTGAAACAGTTTCGATGTCTCCACCACCTGACCAAGTGCATTCAAGTGAAGAAATTTCAAATAAAGATCAGCACAAGATACGTAAGTAGAGAACTAAAAATTAGCTGATGTCTTCTATCAAATTCTTTGATATAAGCAACTTCTGAGAGTAGGGTGCATGCCCTTATGCCTTACACCACCAAGCAAATTGTACTAATCCATGATCTGTACCAAATACTTTGAATACATATTACAGTTCTTGCATATGCTATGAATTCAATACTGGTGTTTGTTTTTTTTTTCAAATTACTTTCCCTTTGGGATGCATTCTAATTTTAAAAAAGAAAGGGAGAAATATCAACTAAGTCTAAATTCGTTATTAATATATTAACAGCTCTTTTTAAGTCATGATTCTGCTATTATTGAACAAGACATTACATTTTCTTCCTCCAATTTCATGCACTCAGAAATTAATTCTGAATAGGAGTAACCAAAAAATGATAGCAATCTGGATCTCTGCTGACAGTTCTAACAAGGTAGCTGATAATCACATCTGCAAACAAATTTCCCCATTCCTCAACTCTTCCACAAATAGCCCAGGTAAATAAAGAACATAGACCTGGAAGAGCAGAGTAGAACAATCTTCCCTTTACTCAACTGTGGCATAAGTTTTTACAGATTTTCTCACCACTGTGCATCAAAACATGACAGCAGTGCCTGATTACAAGGAATTCATGAAAGATCAGCAGTGTTTAGATAGCAGAAAAGAGAGATTTGCCAGTGTTAATCATGTTTCAATAAAGAATTAGATATTTGACTTTTGGTAGACATTGGATGGGTCCGATTTTCAAAGAAAACAAAAAAGTATCCTCTGCACTTTAGTGGTAAAGAACCACAGGCAGACAGAATGACCCCTGATAACTACAGAGCTAATTTTTGACCAGGTACACACACACACCTTCCATTGACCGTCTCATTGCCTCACTGACAAAACCAGGGCACACCCCCAGTGAATTCTTGAATTGGCCTCTTTCTAAACACATCTTTCTTCAGTTTCAAGGCTCACTAATGCCACCTGCTAATAGATTTTTTGGATGGTTTGAAAGCCATGCAACGCACAGAGAAGTCAGTCAGTATGAATGGTGTAATTTTACATGCTGTCCTCTTGGATTTTTTCAACAGAGAGTTGGAAGTGGGATATCAGAGGGTTAACAATGGTTGGGTAATCACCTTTTGTGGCTGTTTGAGTACAAACTACACTTGTGGTGAGTTTGTTGACTTACCTTTGGCATACCTGCATGCATATTAGACCAGAGAAACAAGAAATGAGAACTCAGAAAACTATGATACTTTTCAGACAGAGAATCTAACGCTGAGAAAAGTATCACCTACTCAATATTTATTTAAACTTAAACCAAAAGGGAAGCTTTTTTTCAAAACGTCTCTTTCTAAGCAGACCTAATAATGTTTAATCCAATTGTCATAGTTTTTTCTTGCTTGCTATTTTTTCATTCGTTCTTTGGTGAGTGATACCTACTTTTTAATTGGCAAGATGAGTAAGGTGAGTGAAAATACAAAAAAACTGTCTGAGGATATAAAAAAATTTAACAACAACAGACCTGCGTTTTGACTGTCTTACCTTGCCTGGGACTTCAAATCAACAAAAAAGGCCTAGATTTTCCACCTCCCCAAAAAAAGTTCAGGTTTTGGAGCTCTCCCCTGGAATCTACAAGAGATGGATTGGAATTATCCACCATTAGTAAATGACACCCTTGAGCTGACAGGAATAACAAAAATCAGCTTATATGCAACTACCTCAACTATTGATTTCAACAAAACAGAGAACAGACCACACCCTGCTTCAAGCAACTGCTGCAAATCAGCAAAATAAAAGCAAATAATTTCCAACCTGATGTTTCCAATCTATTCCCATCATTAAATGGCTACATTTTAAATAGCAGAAGTCCAGTTCTCATTTTGTGTCATCTACTGTGTAAAAAACTTTGCCCCAAAAGATATACTTAGGTTAAGAGAGTAACTGAAACATAACATTTATTTACATTTTACATACTATTGCTTAAATCTGCAGGATTTTCAGACTTAGGTGTCCTTTATCAGGTGTGTTCTAATAGTATAATATTGCTTTGTGTCATTTTGTGTCAGTTGCAGCAAAGGGTTTTCCCTGGAAATCATAGTCTGGAAGACACGACAGGCACTGCTACACAGAGCACAAGGGGTTAGTGAAGAGGATTTTCCACATCCAACAGGAATGCCAACAACCACCTTTCTAGCAAGGGTAGTTCTGAGGGCAGTGTTTGTCAGCCTGCAAGATCTGAACACTGCCAGGTCATCAGCTCCTCTTTCAAGTGCCAAAACCAAATCTTGCCACTGGAAATGAGGGGATCTGGTCTATTTTCCACTTTCCACGGCCCAGACAAAAACCATTAACACATCACTGCCTTTGCTCAGTTTGAGAACAGAATTCTCTGATTCTAGGGACCACACAGTTGTGTCACTGGCTTCTGAAATGTGTTGATACTGGTCACGCTCAAACAAGATCACAGCACATAAGCACTCTATTGGGAACGTTTCCATGTAAGCAGGAAAAGCCATCCAAAAGATGTAGGAGGTTTATTAAGGCTCACACAAATCCACTCATGGACATGAAGGAAGGCTGGATCAGAAGACAATTAGACACTCTAAACAGTGGGGTGTGTTCACATGTTGACGTGTATGATTTTTATGTACCCTTAACTTCCCAGTAGCCCAAATTTCAACTTCTCTTCATGTTTACTTGATTTTTCAATTGCCTATGGATGAGGTGAGTGCCACTGAAACATCCTCTTCAACCCTCTTCCTGTAGAGTTCCATAACAGGAAGGAGGATGTTAAACATTATCTTTCTTAAGCAGAAAAGCTATTTTGCTTAATTGGGAAAGCCAATTTTAATCAATATTTTTATGCTGTAAGATGAATTTAAAGTGTATGACTTAGCAAATATTAAAATTTTTCTCTTAATATTATATAGTCCTACCATACTTCATCCTCATTAATGAAACATCTTTGTGCAGATATTTTGTACTTGTATTTTTATGCCTAATCAGACACGATACAGAAAGGAATATATTTAGATTCTGGATCTCTCCCCCAAACAAGAACAGGATATTTATAGTTTCAAACCCTGGACAGGGTCCAGACCCTTGTCTAGTTTCCAGCAAAGTTTTCATTAAGAAGTCTTAAAGCTTTGCTATCACACCCGTAAATTTCAGAAGGGACTCCAAAAATTAGATAGTTAAGAAAGCCTTCTCATCTTTTGGGGTAATGCCATCCAAGCCAGTCTCTGTGAAGAACCTGTTTTTACAAGAAAATAGACAGTTTAGTTCAAATAATTTATTTTCAGTCCATATGGAATTATTATTAGCAACACCTCTTTTTACAGAAGAATGAATTTCTTCATATTTACTATTTATTTTACTATTTTTCTCATTTACTAGTAATAGTAAATTTACTATTACTTTCTCATTATTCTTCATATACTCCTTGCATCTTAGTTTGAAGCTTTCACTTTTAGAAGTAGGATGGGCATTGCCTAAAGAAATAAACATCAATAATGAAATACTAACAAAAAAGAGAAACAATAACTGAACTCTTATCTTGCACCCTTCAACCTACACTGAATTCCGATGGCTACTAGACCTACTACCAGGTATGTAGGCGTGTCTCCTTATTTTATTTATTATTTTTAAATCCGAAATAAAAATGTTTTTATTTTGTTCGACTGGGAATCTCTCTTCCTTTTCCTTTTCAGTAAGGAAACACAATTATGTCAGGTCAAACCTAAAAGTGCTTTGGTTTGTCTGCCAAAACTAACCCTTAAACATTTTGGAAGAAACTGCTCTATGGCAGTGAAGCGGTTTTACAAATCCAGCCCTCAGTCTTTACTGCACCTCACAAACATCCTTAACATGAAAGGTAAGGGGCTGAACATCCTCCAGGATGTCAAGATTTCACAATAACATTTCTTGCTTGTGGTTACTGTGCTGCTCTGGGTGAAGGCAGTTTATGGGAGCACGTGGATCAGTGTGGCTACATTGCACTGCCTTTGCTGAAAGAGGATCTTCAGAGAAAAAGGAAATTAAGTCAGCAACCTGATGACCTGGGCAAGGGCTAATTTTCCAAAGAGAAACTCTTTGGAGTTTCAGATAGAACTCAGCACACTTTGCTGCAATTACCATGAAAAAATTCTTTGGTAGTTTAATTTTTGTAGACTGACCTATGAAACTTTGCAGTTCTCTTTGGTCATGTCACTGAGTCACTGGTGTGGCATTTTCAGCAGGAGTCTATTGTAAAGCCAGGCTTTTCCAACGCTATTTCCTTCTTCATATCATTACAAGCCTTAAGAGGCCAAAGCAGTTCCTTGCAGATTGACACAACAGGTTCTGTTGGAAATGTTGACAGCCAGGAAATAGTTTGGGCAGTATTTTTAATCCCCTCTCCCAGACCGACCAGCAAGCCCAAAACTCAGCCATTAAAGCACTTCCCCAGCCAGTGCAGAAAGAAAACAGCTGTTTATTAGACTTGCTTTCTGTAGTGTGTACAAACAGTACAGAGAGCAACAAAGCACCTTTACACTGCACAAACACTGAGAGAGCACAAAGAAAATGAACACAAGGCATTAAACAAAGAAAGGATGTGTACAATGGAACAGGTACAAGCTATTTATTTTTTGGTTTTGTTTTTCTTTTTGTGCTAAAAATAGAACACAATGCTTATCTTTGTGTAGAGACTACTCACCAAAGCCTGAATAAACCGGAGGTCAAGAATATCAACATCATTAAAACTCTTTGCAATTTTCAGTTCTTTATCTAGATTCACTTTTTCCTGATATTACTTCCTTCAGAAACTAAGCCTTCTCCCAAAGGGAAAAAAAAATCCAACAGAAATTCTCTTAAGTGGGCATTTTAAGAGAGAAATGATCAGACTTAGTCCTAGCCATCTATCAAGTTAAAAGTGTGCTGAAAGAAAAATGTGAGACACTGAAGGTAAGAATTTGGTCAACCAAGCCTTCAGTAACTTTGATGCTTTTTAAATTCCAGCTCTTGTAAAAGGCTGAACAAATTTCTACAAAAATGTTTACTAGCTATGAAACATCACATTGCCTGGTGTTACGTGGAATGCACGATAATTAGCAACAAATAGAAAACAGTGCACATCCACTGCAGGTCAGTTTAGGAGTTTTCTTTCCAGAATTGCCATTCCCCTCCCTAACCAAATTAAACATGCTATCATGCCTTATCATTACACTGAAAATAAACCTTGAATGAAGTCTGTAACAAGACTGACACGTGGCAAAAATAGCCTGACCCTAACCCAGCATGTTTTTACATTTGGGTTCTTTGTACTGTTCATCACAAGATGCTGCTGCTGCAAATACATAAACACGGGAGTTTCCCATCATGAAATATGTTTGCAGGGTAAAGTCTCCTCTGTGAATGGATCACAAATTCCTTGTAAATTATCAAAATCTTATCAAGACAACATACCATAGAACTTCAGGATGGATTTAGGAAGAAATTCTTTACAGACAGGGTAATCAGGCACTGGAATGGGCTGCCCAGGGAGGTGGTGGATTCTCCGTCCCTGGAGGTGTTTAAGAAGAGACACGATGTGGCACTGAGTGCCATGGTCTAATACCTGTGGTGGTCTTGGAACAAGGGTTGGACTTTATGATCTCAGAGGTCCTTTTCAACCCATCTGATTCTAAGATTCTATGATTTGCAGATACAACAAAGAAACGAGGATGCTACGACTAGGTATTTTGTAAAAATATCTATAGAAATAAGAGTTGTGATGCAAAAAAGAAAAAAGAACTATACTAACTTAGAAGACAAAATACAATATTTCTAACATTAATGTTATATTAAAGAACTTTTAAGCAAGAAAAATAAGACCTCAAATTTAACTAACTTGAATTCTTGTCCCAGCACAGAAAATTTTAACTTCTCTTCTTTCATTTTTACCTCCAAGAATATTTTGTTAGGTCTAATTATAACAAAAGCCTCCTCCCTGACCATTTTAGCGGTGCTGGTGAGCAGCTGCTGCCTCTGGAATTGGTAAGACCTGAACCTGGCAGTACCTGAACTTGGCAACAAGAGCTCTGTTCACTGTTCTGCATGTGGTTAGCAACTGCCTTAACTAACTGGCACTGATATCCTCTCTTCCTACCGAGACCATCTCCCTTAATGCACGTGGGAATTATATTTTCCCTTCTCACAGTGAAGTCCCAGCAGTGACTCAGAGGCAGTTTTGTTATTGATTACTACAGTCAAGTTGTTTTACCCTTGTGCCACTTCCAATTTATGAGCCCCATTTATAGAGGAATTCCAATCACCTGTATGACCTCGCACTTCATAGGAGATTTCTACCTGTTTCCTTGCTGTATTTTCAAGGTGTCACCCAGCTCCTCATGTTTGGTCTCCTCAGGATTAGTACTATGACCATGTTTTGTCAATCTCATACCTTTCCTGCCTGCTTCTTTAATGAAAATATTACAAGATTATTAGCCAAAAAACTCTCCCCAAGGAACTCCATTAGTAAATTTTCTTCAATCTGAGTGTCTCCTTTACAGCACCAGGAACTGTAACCTCTCTTTTATCTAATTCATCACACCTTACCTTCTCCTCTATTAATCCCCATTTTTTTCTAGCTTTAGTAATAATTTATCACATGGATTTTTTTTCAGCTAAATCAATAATCTGAAGTCTCATTAGAAAGGTTTGTATGTCACAAGGTGCTTTTTGTAAGCTTCTGCTTTATTTAACTCAATTTTTCAGCAATTGCTCTATATTCATGTTTTTCCATCTAAGCTCACAAGGTTCACCCTGCCCCCACTTTCTTACTTAATAGACATTTCTGAAAATGCCATCCTACATGTACCAAGCCACTTTATCTAGAAACAAATCCCAAAAATAATTATAACTAGAACAAGAACACTTCATTTTGCCTTTTCAGAGAAAAAGAACGATTTATGATGTGGACTAATAGTTTTAAACAGTCACCTAAATCTCTAAAGCAGAGTTATAACCCTGAATAACATGGTTGTTTTAGTGTAATGATGCTTGCTCAGCAATTACTAGCAAATGCACATTACTAGAAATGCTCTGCAGAGTGTTAAGAGCTTGTCTGTGCACACACTGACATGGTGAACTCTCAACACCTGTGCTGTGGTTTCACAATCCTCATCCATTCTATAAAGGCCTGTAGCAATCAAATCAATATTTCCTGTCTAACTGTTGTTGTTCAAATAGAGGGGTTTATAGGCACATACAGATGACCTCAGACTTTAGGAGAGATCACTTTTTTGACCCAAAATGTACAGCTTAGCCCACCTGGAGCAGGTAACAACTATACATAGCTGGAGTTCTAATCTTACTACTTTACTCTGTCTTGCAAACTGTGTTGTAGTGGTAACTTCTTCAGGTTTTATATTCCTTCCTACTATGCCTGTTACAAATTTCATTTCAGAGGCACTGGGATCACCGAGTGAACACACGAGAACAAAGAAACATCAGAAAAACTTAAAAACCAAATTTCGACTCTATACCGATACGACTGAAGGCGACTGTCAGATTTTTTTTAATCAGTTGGAGACTCTTGAGCAGTGCAGTTTCAATGCCTCTCTTCCCCTGGTGATGATAGTCCACGGTTGGTCGGTATGAACTTACATTTTGTTTTTACTTCAAACTACATCTGATTTTATGCACTTTCCTTCTCACTACACTACTGCCAAAAATATCTTCAGATATCCCGCTGTGATTACAAAGATGGTAGATTTCCCTGGTAGCAATCATGGCTAGAAATAATACATCCCCCCCTAGATGCTGAAGGAACAGTCTACAAGCAATTTTTCCCATGGGACTCCCATGCCAAGGATCAGATTCAGCCCTGGTTTAAAGCCAGCAGAGCTTGAACAAGTAGCTGAATTAATGTGCTGTGCTCCTGGAAGGTTGAACACCAGTTTCATTTCCCCAATATGTTCACTACCAGATATTTACAGACTTCTTGAAAAGTGCACACAATCTCCCCACATCTTTCTTACAGATACACCCTTAAAAAGAACTTCTCATAGGCCCCTTAAGTTAAAAGCAAAGCCTTCAACATCAATGAATTATAACTGAACTGCTTCCAGTTAAGCTGTAAAAAAGCAATCCACTATAAGAAACCTTTCTCAAAACCACAGCAATAGTGCCTTTTCATCAGCTTCTCAGTTGAAAAAGAAACAAAAGGCAGGATAAGAAATTCTGTCATTTTAACAGGTCTTTAATTCTCACAGAGCTGCTGTCATTACCTAAGGTGGCAAAATGGATCTTCCTTGCACATCTTCAAATACACAGACAAACTCTGAACACCCCCCTTGATGCAGATAACTCTTAACAAATAAGGGCAGGGCTGACTTTGGATGAAATATTGCCTTAGACTACTTTGACCAAGCCTCACAAACAAGAACCTCTTCAAAACCTCCTCAAAGAAAAACCACAGGCCTGGAGCTGCTGCCATGGAAGTTCATCATTCATATTAACTTAATTTGCTGTTAGAGGAATATGTATGGAAACCCTGACCTGAGATTCCCAAATTCTGTTACACCAGAAGAGATAAGGATATTTTATCAATGAAGGAAATACATGCAACTAGAGCAATTTAATCTGATAAATTAAATAATATTTCTAGTCCATCAGATCAGAAAAACACTTTGATACAGAAAATTGTAATCAGGTGTTCCAAAAAAAATTACTCAAAAAAGTAGGTCTCAAAATGGAACAGCTGTAGAAGATAAATGCCCACTGGTCTGCAGCCCTGCAGCTTCCCTCCCTCTCCAGCTCCTTTAGCTTTCAGGAACAGCTGCACTTGAATGAAATCAGAAATTTTCTGGGCATTTCTGTCTTTCCTTTTAGCAAGTAACACCAGTTATCACCAGATGAGTTCAAATATTTTGGGACATCATTTTCACTGATAAGAGCTCATATACAAAACATACATTATTAAACAGTTCTTATATTGATTTTTAATTTTTGTCCACCAAACCCCAAAGATTCTCAGCATTAAGCAGGCTGAAGCCCCTAAAATCTATTTGTCAGCATTAAATCCCTCCTCGGTCATATTATGGTTTTTGTTTCTTTGAGCTTTTCACAAGAAATATTTGGCAGACACTGTTTGGCATTGTTTTCCCATAACAATGGTCTTTTTATTGTTTTGTTGTTTGTTTTGTTTTTGTGGTTTGTTTTTTTTTTTTTTATTAACATAACAGGTGGATGGGATATTAGAAAGTTGGATTTGGAAAATGGTAGCAGCTCTGAAGGCTCACCACAAACCAGTGAACGTGATCGTTGCAGACTGGCTTACCCTGGCTCACCAGCACTATCCCATTGCTGTACAGAACACACGCTATGTAGGGCAGGAGATTGCGGAATTCCTGGAGTGGCTGGAGGTAAGAGCCCCCAGATCTGGAAAATGTTTCTCTGGAAAAGATTAATTTCCTTGTCCTTACGCTCCTACAACCATTCTGAAGTACTATGGCTAATGCTGTTCATTTCAGTCTCTCACAATTCTTTAATAAAGTGCAAATTTTTCTTCCATATAAACTTTGATACAACTTCATAAAATTTCACCATGCAATAGAAAAAAGCAAGTGATCTTGCTTATTAAAATAATTTATATATCTCTAGATGTAAGATAATTTCCTGCTACTTTGGCTTTTCCAATGGCATGTGTGTAGATAGCTACCACCCTTTGAAAGCAGGCAGACATCATTTGCAAGCTGTTAGTTCAGTAAAACAGGATTATATTACCTGTGCTTAACTCCTGCTTTTAATGCAGGATTCAATCATATCTGATTTTTGCCCCAGTTTCCCAAAGATTATGCTAAAATAATGGCTTAGAGATCAGAATGTAAAGGGAGACCTTCCCAGAGGACAGATGTGCTTCACAAAGCAGGTGACATTGAGGCAGCAGTGAGTGCAGAGACACTCATGCAGTGACCACTTATCAAAACTCCTTCTACCTGGGGAGCAGTGGCCATGGCTGGATTGAAAAGGCAGAAAGTAAACACTAGAATGAGAATCACTCACACAAATCAGCTGCAAGATTTGTAGCAAATCCCATTGAAGGTCTAACTGGTTCCAACTGGAATGGTAGAGCTAGAAGCTGCCAGATACCATGCCTAGTTAGGGACAACAGGCACAAAAGAAAGGCAAAAGAGCCAGAGTCACAACTTTTCATTGAGACATTACAGGAAACTTTAGCAGTTTAAGTTACTGGAGCCTAAAGTGATTTTTGAAGCTGTTAATTATTGAATGAATCAATCAGTGGACTTTGTTCAGTTGCCAGGACACACCACATTGTCAACAGTAAAGACTATCTGTGATTTTTCTAGTGTCAACAAACAAATCCAGGCTTCCATAAATGACTCCTTGCTCCAACACTGTAGGCAGCTTCTCTTGTACCATGATATGTTCCAGAATTTTAAAATACCATAAATTTTCACAGCATTAAATCGAGTGTGTTCAACCAGAAAACCTTGCTTCTGTTGAGAGGCTCCCCTTAAAAGTTCAACACTAAAAACCCCTTCATTCCAACTCCCCTAATGATCTTTTTGCTATGCTTCTGTCTGCTTACAGGCAGTCAGTTATTTGAAACATTCTCAATAGATATAACAAAAGCTGCAGTACTGCCCAACATTTTAATTAAGAATAAACATTAAGTAAATATCAGTGCTCTTAGTCCAAGAATTAATGGGGCATGATCAGTAACAACCTCATCTCAACACCACCTGAGAGGAACATTGGTCAGATTCTGTGATTCCTAAGAGTTGCCTCTCTCAAAAGAAACTTGCCAAGTTTCACCTCATCTTCAGAAGAGACAGGTATTGAGACTGTGCAATCACTCCACTGGGAGAGGCAACATCCACAAAGAAATTAAAGGAGAGGTTTTGCCTTTCCTGCAAGAAAAACGTGCCACATTTTTCAGTCAGGAAAACTTTGAGCCTTGCAGCTCAGGTGAAATGCTTAGGATGTACATATATTGATTAGGTAGAAAGAAGGGCCTGAGGCCAATTCTGCTTCAGCAGGTTTGGTTCAGATCAGATACTCAGTTTTCTACAAGTCAGCCCAAGAAATATCATTGCCGTATCACTTAACGTGTCTGATCAATCTTTCAATGCCTTGTCTTCTCATTTAGCTTGTGCTTGTATCTCGGGCCAAAAAAGCAAGGCACTTCCTATAGAAGATTGTTTTACCCTGGAGTGAAAGGACAGAGAACCATTTTACAGTCATAGGAAAGTCAGATGCTGCAGACAAGAGGCAATGCACATTTGCATGACTTGCTACAAACAACAACAAAAATCTGTGTTGGTGGTTTTCCTGTAGTAGGAGGAGGTTTTCTAAGTAGTAGTGCCTAAATATGTGGCATTTTCCTGCTGCATGAAAAGGAAGCAAGGAATAATACTCAGCCAGTGAAGAAATTTAGTGAACGATTCACACAATTAATTTGACTACCACTATCAACATATAAATTTCTTGTGTTATAATTCATGGTATTTCTAGCTTGTAATAAGTATTTCACCCTTGTCACATTTTCTGCATCTAAATCAAGTTGCCACTATCTTCCAGGAATCCATTCAATTTTCCAGAAGCAATGCTCATCTAATTGGGTACAGCCTAGGAGCTCATGTTTCAGGATTTGCTGGAAGCTTTATCAGTGGCACAAAAAAGATTGGAAGAATTACAGGTAAAAGACGTATACCTTTAAGAAATATAACTGTCAACTGAATTACATTACGCAGACGTTTGACATATCAATGTCATATTGACACTTAGCTGTTAAATAAGCAATTTTCACCACAGTTTAAAAGTTTCATCCCATTGGTTTAGAAATTAGATTTAGGAAATTTAATGCAAACATTTTTCAAAATTAAGTCTCATGGTGTTTCTGTCTTTGATCTCTCCTACCTCAGTCCAAATTATGACATACAGAATATACAAATAAGGAAACTGCAAATCATAAACCAAAGACTACAGCTGCATGTTGCTTGAATTTATCTTGTATCTGTTCCCAGTAACTGGTTAAACTAAATGACCTTGAATCTTTGGTCACTGTCTTGACCCAAAGTCACTCAAATACACTGTTCATTGTTAGCAAGTGTCATTTAAAAAAATACATTAAGGAAATTGTCTAACTGTGCTTGAGCTTTTAATTACGGTACAGTGCTCACACAGTGAAGTGAAGCCAGTTCTCCTGTGGCAAAAATGATAGTTCTGGATTACATTTTACAAGAGGTATATCATTAGAATATCCCTAATAGATGCTCAAAACAAACAAAGTTAACCCTAACACTTGATTATTTTGACTAGTGGCATTCTGAACTTTCTGTAAAGCTTTGTAACTGTACTAATTATGAGCGTAATGCAAATTACATGATAACGTTTTTGATACACTGCACACAGCACCTCAACTAATGCCCATTGTCAGCCTAAAAAAGGCAACAAACAAAACCAAAACAGCAGTGAATTTTACACAAGGTCCACATCAGCTACCTTTAGTCCATCAGAGAAAAGATTTTACTTTAATCAGAATTAGAAGTGAGGCAAATATACACGACTATACTTTGAAGTCACAACTCTGATCTTGGATTCATTGCCACATACCCCAGTCCCTTAAACAATCAGCTCTTGTAGCACTGCCTGCATGACAAGCTGATTTTACAAAATATGTCATGATATTACACCTCTGCATACACTGAAGGACTTCAGGTCCCCAGCACTGCTTGTTCAAACCTTATTAGTCCATAAAACCTTGATAATGGATAAGTAAAAAATATATGAAGTTAATTTTTGTAACAGCTATATGCATTCTTCAGCAAAAGTTATTCAGACTTGTAACAATAAGCTCCAAAAATTGATAGTAATAAGAGTTATTAAAACTAAAAGGAAATGGATGCCTTCAAGGTGACTTCCCTACTTGTAGCCTGTGTTATTAAGTGCTGTCTGGTTATATCTATGCTATGTTACTCCACAGTAGCAACTGAAGAATATCCAGTTTAGAAGCTTCCCCTCAAAACTGAATGCAGCTTTCAACTAAACAGAAAATTCTCTTCCATAAATCAATTCCAAACCAAGAAGAGCACCATGCAAAAAGATCTAGCAAACAAAACTCAGCAAGACTCCCTAAGTGGAATATTATTTTTCTGAATACGGTAATAATCTGCGTGGAAGACTTTTCCAGTTGAAAAATTATTACAAAGAAAATCTACCAGATATACAGCCACTTTAAGCAATAAGTCAAGCTTTATAAAGTTTCAGGTCCCAAATGTGGGTTAAAAGTCAACCTTGTTGTGGGACTGGTGTCTCCAAAGCGGCGTCTGAAATACACGACCTCTAGAGTTTGAAAGAACAGAATTGTGTAAACATCCCTGCAGTGACAGGGCGGCAGCGAGCGAGGTTTGTCCCTGACAAACACATCTATCTCTGCACCTGTGGCCTTGTGCAGGCAACACTCACTGTTTGTCACAGCGCCTGTGTTTGCTTTACTTTCTGGTGTAATCACGAACCCTCTGCAGGACAAGTGTTCTTAGCATTGTTTCCAGCAGAGAAAGACCTTGGAAAGTACCAGTGCTGCCTCCTTTTAAATATTTATCATAGACTTTTGTTACAGCAGTAGAACAGTCCTTCTGCACTATGTGACAAAGGGATTATTTGCTTTTATTGCAGGCCTTGACCCTGCCGGTCCCCTGTTTGAAGGAATGTCACCAACAGACCGTTTATCTCCAGACGATGCAGACTTTGTAGATGCAATTCATACCTTCACTAAACAGCACATGGGGCTCAGTGTGGGCATCAAGCAGCCTGTGGCTCATTTCGACTTTTATCCCAACGGAGGCACCTTCCAGCCTGGCTGTCACATCCTGCACGTGTACAGCCACATTGCTCAGTACGGGATCACCGGTAAGAACCGATGGCACAGAGCCTTACACTGACAGGACCTGGGGAAACTGCATAGCTCTGTGATCTCGAACACCTTCTGATGGGAGTATTGTCACCCCTTATGTGTAAGGAAATTCCTTGTCTAGAAATCAGCTATCTGATTTTTACATGTATTGAGTTCAAACTAGTTTTCCTGACGCCAGTAAAGAACTGAGCTGTCCAGCATTCCCAAAAATGAGGCTGTGAAAATCCTGTTGTCAAGCACCTCTGAATAATTTCAAAGGTATCTGTTTATGAGAAAACTTATTCTAATTAAGCCAGATTCATCTAGTGTGTCATTAATTATTTCAAATCAAATAAAACACAGGTCTATACTACTCAACTCCTTAGTTCACCTTTTCCTGACTCCCTGTCCTTCAGCTGTGTAGATGATTCTCCCTCTAGGACCTGGCTGACAGTGTTCCAGGCTGTGTTTTATTTATAGAAGCTTATTTCCAATGTACCTAAACACAAACGTATAGAGCAACTGATGCAACACACTGAAAAAAGATAAGGCACTGATGCACAGTGACAAACCCCAAAAGAGCTCTGCTCACCCAGGGCATGACATTGCGAAAGTATTTCTCAACCATCATCACACACTGCCTAACATAGGCCTTACTTGTTAGCAGACAAAACCAAGCACGAGCTCAAAAGCTTATCAGTGGACTTATAAAAATAGTCCATCATGATATATCCCAATTATACAAAATAATTTTTTAAATTTGATAGCTCTTAAGGAACAAGAAGATACTTACTTCTCATAAAAGCATCTCTATATATCTAATAATTTTTTAATCTGTTTAATACATTTTTTGCTCCTTTTTCCCCAAGAGTACTTTGTAAACAAAATTCAACATGAAAGTTTGTCACTCTAATAGGGACAAAATATTATATTTCTGCATAAGGATCCAAAAGACAACCACTCAGAATGAGACTGCTGTCTTTAATCTGGCGTTATCTGAAAGACTGTACACTACCTCATATGGTACTTTATATTGACCACAACAATCTGGATAATGTAATCAAGGTTCATATTTACAGTCTGATACAGTCAGGCTAGAGAAGTTTAAGCAGCAAATTATTCAATTTTATTAGCTATTTTTGAATTATCCTAAAAGTTAAATTGCTACAATGCGTGATTTCTGAGGCAAAATCACGATATAAAGGGTAGTGAGGGGATGGGGGGAAAAACAGTAACATATTTATGGTTGGTTACAGTACTCCTCTGCAATTAAAATGGTAAAAAGGAACAATAGCATGTAAAATTCTGTTTGCATTTTTTCAGGCATCACTCAAGCTGTGAAATGTGCCCATGAGAGGTCAGTTCATCTGTTCATTGACTCCCTTCTGCACAAGAACAAGCAAATCACAGCTTACTGGTGCAACGACATCAACACTTTCAACAAAGGATTATGTCTCAGCTGTAGGAAGAACCGATGCAACACCCTGGGCTACAACATCAGGGAGGAAAGGACCCCAAACAGCAGACAACTCTTTCTGAAAACAAGAGCACATATGCCCTTCAAAGGTTTGTGGGAATACTTGTTACAGTGCCCAGATTATCACAAAGTGAGAGAATGAGCCTAAGCTTTGTGATCCTACTTACTCAATCCTTAAAGCTTATAAAATCTGTGGGAATAATCAATTTGCTGAGACAACTCTTGATGCCTTTTCATCAAGATCCTGACTCTTAATATTTCTGTGGGAAAAACTATGCTGCACACTTGCCCCAGGCTAACAATGGATCCAAGGCCCCGGAGAGGCTTGGGGTCCTGATCTGCAGGATTTTCCTACAACTGGCCTGTGTGGTTTTGCTGTAACAGATGCAGGCATACAGCCAGGCTGAAAAAAGCAGCATAATTGCTCTGGGAGGCCTGTAAAACATCCTGTTCCAAGTTTGCCCAAAATTTTATCTGCAATTGGTCTATGAGATGACATACAAATTACTACTTTTCAAACAATGGACAGGCAGCAGAACAGTGTGGACTTTTACAGGGCTGAACTGCAGCACTAAAATAAGGACTGGTGCTGTAGCCTCAGTTCTACTAAATTACTTTATCAACAGTGCAAACTAACAATTTTCTAAGCTCAGGGAGACAGTCAGTGTGGTTTCTTGGCCATATGACCAGACAGAGGGGATGCAGCCTAACAGGGGAACAAGGCCTTTCTGCCAGTCTCCAACACACGCAGCTGCCACAGCCCACGAGATGGTTGTTGTTGAGTAGACATTCCCTTGCCCCTGGCAAGGTTTATGTACATTTTAAAGCAAGAACAAGCAGGACTGTGTGGGAATATAGGCATGCACACACTTCTTCCAAGGGGCTTTCAGTGCAGGGGCTCCTGGCACACAGCATCTCCTCACCACCTCCTTGCCCAGCACAGGAGCCATGTGGGGAGCAGCAGTGTGGGGCAGCCTGGGCAGGGCTCCCTCCTGGAGACACAGGTCACACACACAGAGGAGATTCCCCTTGGGCTGAGGGGCTGCTCCCCAGCCCCCAGCACAGCCTGGCCACAAGGGTCCCACAGCCCCTCTCCTGCTGCCAGGGCTGTGCCAGGCCAGAGCCTCCCTGCTGATGGAGAGCTCAGCCCTCTTGTCCCTCACCCTGGACAGCTGGGAGGCACTTTGGATGTCCAGAGTGCACCCCTGGCATGGACACCAAAGGGCCTTGCAGTCCTGAGAAGAAATGCCTTAAAATGCTGCTTGCATTACACAGCTTGTTTCCCACAGTCCAGTTGCTTAACCACAGTATCACAGATTCCAATTTTGAAAATTCTCGTACTTGTAAAACAATTTTTTAAGTCTTTCACTGGCACAGCTATGAAATACTCAGTGATGTTTCCACAGGGGTCTGTGTAGCCCTGACTGATACTCAGAGCAGCTGAATCTCCTGAATCTCTTCTTAATACTGTTTAAAATGGTTCAGGAAGGTAATTGAGGTAGATTTAAAAATTCTAGAGGCTGCTGCAGTACAGTCAGGTCCTTGTCAGATGAGGGAAGTGACTGGCTCTGCGGACACAGTGTCCGCTCTCATCACACCTGCAATCCCTGTGTTGCATTCTTCTCTGGACACGGAGCTAGTTTCAGCTTGTGGTAAAATATCTGTGTCCTATTGGCTTTGAATTCAATTTCAACACGTTGCATTTTTATGCTTGGAACTGGTTTTGCATCAAAAAACCATCCTTGGCACATATGCAGATAACAGAGCCGCAGACAATGGTCTCCTTTCACAAAAGTTCCCAAACAAAGCGGCAACTGTGGGAGGGTGCTCACAAAGTCATCTTTGTAATGCTTTTAAAAAAATGTTTGAAGATCATGTGAGAAGCCCAAACAGGAGAAATTTGAGAAACTCAGCATTACACTTCACAATCCTCTGTGCCTTCGTAAAATCTGACATTTCATTTTCAAGTTAATGGCATCATATTCTGGAGCAGACATTAATCCAGTTCAAACGAAAAAAACAGTAGTTGCAAACAAGGTAACACTTACAATAAAGCTGTGATGGGACCCCAAGTTGGAGATTTTACATGAATATGCTCATTTTTTTTCCTTAAAGTGAGCCCCACAACCACAGTAAAAGCCTAGGCTGTATCTGAACAGAAGTGAAGCCCCTGGTGGTCTAGTGGTAAAGGCGCGGCGCTGTCACCGCCGAGACCCGGGTTCGATTCTCGGTCAGGGCCACTCCCGGGCTGATGGAGCTCGTTAACCCTTAAATAGGCAATCCATCTACGTCCTAAGGACCTCGCTGCCACCGTCCAAGCTCGCTTGGCCCCGGCAGATGAACCTTAGGATTAAAGGGTGGGCTCAGTTCCGCGCACACTGTGTCTCACCTAAAAAATCGAATGCGCAGGCTGGAAGGTGGAAAGACCTTCCCCGGATCTTCGCTCGCGAAGACTGGCCATTATATCTGAACAGACATCTAACAATCAATTTTTATATGGAGAGAAAACTCAGAGAAAGACAGATTATTAATAAAAGTGATCTGTAGACAAGCCTCTCTGCCTTCATCTTCATCAGGTTTGCAGCAAAGGATCAGCCATTTTCTCTGATCTACTGAATGATGTTTTCAAAAGAAAATACATTGTTCACTAACACACAACTATAAAACAACAAAAAGACACAGCTTTTCTAGCAAGTGCCTTCCATTGTGAACACCCTGAGCCAAAAAAAAAAAAAAAAAAAATCAATCTACACAGAAAAAACCATAATTCCCTTGGCAGTATGGTGGATCCCTTCTCAGATGTAATGAGGACTGAAGTGGGTGAAGAGACTCTACTCAAAAACTAGTGTGCAGTAATGTTCCTTCACACCTAAATCTACCCGTTTTGTCTAGAAGGTGGTGGGTAGAATGACCAGATGGAAGAGTTTTGGACCTTCAAACTGTACACATGCTCTAACTGTATGTTGCTGGGGTTTTTTTCATAATTTACAAAATATCAAACTACTCATAATCTGTACAGTGATGACACAGGCATTCTTCCTCCTGACAATGTTCAGTTCAGACTTTCCTAAACAATGTTCTTCTAGAAACCCACCAATTCTTGAAGCATTAATGACATCTGTCTCATAGAAATGTGCTTGAACAAAGTGATATTGTTAACAGAGGCGCATGAAGCACAATGTATCATTATGCAGTCAAGGAAAGTTTGGGAGCCATCTGTTTTGCAGGGCAATTTTCTAGTTGATCAGAGAAAGACCCTGACCATCCTGCATAAGGTCTTCCATCCACATCATACATTTCTGGTCATGCCCAGTCACAAGGATTTGTCTGGTCACTACATAGAGAGCTTGCCAGAAATTCTAACAGTTGAACTTAAGAACAACTGCAATATTTCTCATGGAAGAATGTTTTATCCTGAAAACAAACTCATCCCAGATGACCTTTTTTCTCCATCCTTTTAAACAGAGCAACAGGGTCGCAAACCCTAAGGGATTACACAGGACAGCAACAACCAGAAAAGAATTAAGTTTTAATTTCAACAAATTAATTTGAAAAATAAAATGGAACAAAAATCAGGTTTCTGCTTTGAAAGGCAAAATTTTTTTGCCTAAGAAATCTATTTCTTCTTTGACTGTTAATTTTCTCACTTTGCAAATTAATTCTTCCTTTCTCCAGTGTATCATTACCAGTTCAGGATCCACATCATCAATGAAATCCAAGGCAAGCCGATAGACCCAACTTTTACCATGTCTCTGACAGGGACTAAGGAGGATGCTAAAAACCTGCACATCCCAATGTGAGTATTGGTATAATCTGTCATTGTGCACGCAAGAAAAGGTGCCAGATTGCAATACTGTTAATTGATAGTCACGCTGTGAGTGAAATGGTTCAGTACAGCCAAGTGAAGATGAACTGGAAGTTGTCCTCTCTTCACTCATACTCCCTAAAAATCACGAGTTTTTCAACATTCATACAGTTTTTGCAGAAAAAATATCTATAAAACAAAGAGCAGATTTGGAAGTTTCCTGGTCACTTATGTTCTGTCCATCCCATGGCTATGACAGGGAGATCTAATCAATTAAAATACAAATTAAAAAATCAGTTGTAATTAAGATAAAGAATTTTGGATATTTATCAGGATGGACACCATCTGTATTAACAAAAGCAAAGGTAACAGCGTGGGTCAGCATTTGTTGTAGCAGACAAAAGATGTAACATAGATGTAATTATGGAACACCTTTTCTTTTACTGTCAGAAACCACCCCTGCTTCACCAGCTGTTCAAGCTTCTCCCACTTCTTTCCTACCATGTTTTCATATTTTGCCACTTTATAAACCAGGAGGAAGAGTATTCTAGAGACTGTAATGTTCTGTCCTAGAGAAGGAAGAGGAAACACAGTTCTTTCTTTGGTTTTACTTTATTTCATAATAATTAAGACAGCATATTCTGGTTTTATTTTCTGTAGAGTTGAAGGTATTACTGGGAACAAAACCTACTCTTTTCTCATCACCCTGGATAGTGATATTGGTGACATAATAATGATCAAGTTCAAATGGGAAGGAGCTCCAGTTTGGGAAAACATCTGGGACACAGTACAAACCATAATACCATGGACAAAAGGCACCCGTCGACCAGGACTTATAGTGAAGGCACTAAGAGTGAAAGCAGGGGAAACACAGCAAAAGTAAGTGCAATGAAACCAATAATAACACCACAGATGTTTGGCACACAGCTTATCCCAAACATAATACAGGCATCTGAGTCCCCAGCAGGCACACCAATGGTGAATTTATCCATTTCAACTTCTGGCTTCCCCTCCCCTGTCCCTCAGATCAGACTGCATGATTTTTAAGTGATTTCAAGAACTTCTCTGGTCTCAAATCAGAAATGAGTAGTGGGAAATGCTCTGGCTCACCAGTGCCACTGATCTGAGCATAAGGCACAAAGGCCTTTGGTGACAATCTTGTTCATACTTGGGAATAAAGAACAGAGAAACTATCACACACATCCAAGCAAGAATTCTAACAGGTTTTACAAGGCAATTACTCTACACAATTAATGACAATTTCTGACATTTTTAGAATGGGATCACCTCACTCCATGAGTACCACATGAAATTTCAATGAAACAAGATATTACGTAAGATAAATGTTGATTCCAACATTAAGGTCATGAAGTATTCAGATTCCTATGTACAAAACCAGTGACTTTCAGTATCTACTTCATAGAGAAACTCGGCATCATCATTGTTGAAAATACTCATTAGAAGGATCCAGAGCAGAACTACACAGCCTGGGATTCCTTTTGGTGTTCTTTTTTCCCCTGCTTATTGCTTTGAAACTGCATCAGCAAGTCTGAGCAGCCTTGTTTTCTATGCAGGGCAATGTGCACAACACTTCTGAAACTGCTTATTCATACAGAGACATTTCAGCCAGAAGACAGAACTTGTAATGATTCCCACTGCTTTAATCTTTTGAGAAATTTTAACTAAGCAGTTTAATAAGGGTTAATGAGAAAAGCACATCTTACCTTGTAACTGTGGCTCAGTCTTAGAAGGCAATTTTTCCTTGGTGCATTCTCTTTCTTACCATCACCAGTTATAACTAGTGCAGGCTTCCTGTGGAACAACAGTTATTGGCAGAGCTGCATCTCCTTGATGCTGAGACAAAAGACAAATCAGATAACTCAAAGAGACATTTCATAAGATGATTTGTGTGTGCTGGGGGCAGAGGAAGGGTCATATTTTCTTAGGTTTAGCCCTCCTGAAAATGTATTTTGGAAGTATTTTCCTAACCTGGCACTTGGCACATTCTCCTTCCATTAGGAAAAAAAAGTTTCTGTAACATCTCCTGCTGTTTTAAAAGCCACGACCCCAAATCAGTACTGACCGAGCTGCCAAAGCAAATTAAAGTGTAGCATACACCACAAAGAGCTCTGTTTAAATGCAGAGAGAAAAAAAGTATGAAGGCTGTGAAAGGCTCAGGTCAGGCATAGTCATTTTCCTAACCAGAAATTCCAATTCAGCTGTGTCAACAACCTGGCACAAGCCAATTACTACTGATGTACTTCTTAAGAAATCCCAGGAAATGGGTAACTGAGGTGAATACTTATACTAATAAAAAGTTAGGCTGGTATCTTCAGGTACCTAATGCTCCTTAGAAGTTTTTTTTGTTGTAAATAGAAGTGGGAGTTTGTGTCAAGCTTTTAGTGGATACTGATCATGTGCTGGGTTTTGTTCTGTGCAATTTGGGCAGTGAGAGGTTACTGCTGAAATATTGCATTAATTGGGGGGGGGGGGGGGAGATTATTATGTGATTCTAAAAGGAGGAAGAAAGGACACTCCAGGACAAGTATTGTCTTCAAAGAAAAGAGGTGTGTAAATTCCTGTCTTTCTCAATAGACCAAACATTGTGTATCACAGAATAAACAAACTTGAAAAATCAGTATTTAAAAAAGGTGGTAAGCACAAGATGTGTTTTGAATTGTCCTGTGCTATCTCAGATTTGAACAAGTTAACAATATTTTATCTCCATGCACCTTTACCTCTCAGTATTTGTGATCTTTATATACATGATGAATTTTCCTTTGTTGGATTATCTAATGACAAACTCTTAAGACACAACTTCACAGCATATATTTAAAAAGCAGGTAACAAACAGACCATCACGAGGAATAAAATACCAGATTCCAACATGTTTGGTTTCAAATATTTCCACAGCATATTTAGTTGCTGATGTTGTTAACATCCTACATAGCTGATATTTAGCAAACTCCCAGCTAAATGACAGTATTCCAGCAGCCCAAATAGTGCAATCCTGGTGGTAATAGTAGGAGTTGAAACAATGACAAAGCCCTGCTGACGACACAAAGTCCACACAGCAGCATGTGGGTACAATACACTCAGCACCAGGGAGCTGCCTCCTCCTTTATTCTCTGTACCTACAGTCTGGTAGTCAGATAAATCCATTTCTTCACAAGCCAATAAAAACATCACCTTCCTGTAAAAGACAGGATAAAGAACATGAGATTCTAACTAATATTGTGCTTCCATGCTGTGTTTTCTTTCTAGAATGACATTTTGTTCGCAAAGTATCGACAACGTTCACCTTCATCCATCCCAAGAGAAGACATTTGTGAGGTGTGAAGATCGCTTTCAGAGACAAAACTGAAAATGAGCAGGAACACAAAAAGGAAACTACTCACCAAAATATTTAAAATACTGTATACCTGGGAAAATGGTTTAAAAACCAGTTACATTAAATATCCTAGTAGGTTCAGAGTAGTGAAGAAAATACATTAAAATATTTAGATTTTGTGATGCAACTGTGCTTTGTTCATCAATGAGCCTACTCTGAAAATGATTAATGAGCAACTTCATCAAGGCAACAGTCAATTTTAAACTGTTTAAAATCTGAAAAAAAAACACCTGCTCACCAGAAATAAGAGTATTGCTATTTGAAAGAATCATTGCAATAAACCTTTGAAAAACTCCATTTTGTTGGATTTAAGGGGAAAAAAAAAGTCTCAAAAGGAGCATTTTCCATTAAATACTTTGAATGGAGCTACTATCAGTTAAAACTTTCCTAAATTATTTCCTAATGAAGGAGGAGTTAAATAGTTCATAAAAGAAGATACTCCAAAATAGGTAACAAAATGCATCTCAACCTACAGAATGCTTGAGCTTTCATAACCATATGACAAGCCCTGTAACTGTATGACCTAAAAATTCTATACTAAACTTTGCTCTACTTGAAAGTGCTTTGCTGTTTAACTACTTTAATTAAAGAACTGATTTAAATTACTAGCAGTTTAATAATTTTAATGATGCTTAGTATACCACACAAAATTTTAGCACAACTAATTTCAGTTAATTTCTGCATTTAAATCATACTCACCTGTTCAGGTAAGGTCTGAGATTTTTAGATTCTAAATCACTGTATACCAGATTTTAGCATAACTCGAAACGACCACAATAAATGAAAATGTTAAAATCCTCAAATAGCTTCAGAGCATATAAACAAACTTTATCGAGTCAAACATATACAATTCCCTTGTTTCCTATGTCAGAATACAAACTACAAAAAGAAACATTATTGTCTCAGATTGGTTTTATTCCCAGGTTAGTACATACTGAAATGAAAATCAATATGTATGTATTTCACTTGTCCCTTTGTAATGCTAAACACAAGATTCATTAAAATTATGTTTCTACAACTCTGCATTTTGAATGTAATTTGTGTTAAATGTTCTCTAAATGGTAAAAAAAGAAAGTGCAAGAAACTGCTGAGACATGGAGCACAGCATATTTTTCGTACCAAATTTTGAACCAAAATACACAGATGCTATCAGGACTAAAGCAAGATTTATTCAGAAAGCATGACAAAACAACAAAGCAGAGTGAGCAATCCTGCAAGCAACAAACACTGATCAAATGTTGAATGCAAGCATCTCTGCCAACCATTCACAGTAATAATTTCTAACTTTTACAAGTTGTTTTCCCTTCCTGAGGTATAAATTTCAGAAGCTGTTTCAATATTTAAAATGGCCACTGGGAGTTGCATCTTGCTTCAGATAAATATTTAAAGATTCAGATACAAATTCCATACTAAAGAATTTTAGATCCTCACTGAAAACAAATATTTCTGCTTTGAAAGAATTTGTTCAGTGAAGCAAATTGCTTTTTTAAACCCAAAAGCATTTCCACCTTCTATGTCAATAATTACAATTTGAGTGATTAATTCCATGCTTCAGGTTGCTATCCCAAATATTTAAATTCTGTAACATAGTTATTTTATTAAAGCTCTGTAGTACGTAATCTAGTCTGTGATTGTGCAAAAATCACTTGCTAAACACAAGAGCAAAGTAAAATTAGGAGCATACACAGGAGAAGGAAATTTCAGCCATAAGTACTCCAGGTGGAGGAAGGGTCAGGGTTGTCCATAGTGTGATGAAACTCAAGTAACAGGGATACTGCAGGTTTTTGGGAAAAACCATTCTCCAGGTAAACTGAGACAAGCTGGTATACCCTCAGATAAGATAATTTGAAAACTTTTAAAAAGCCAAGTAGGAAAATTAAAATAACATTCAGTATTTGAACTCTCGCATATATGAAGATACTTATTCTGAAGCCGTTTTTCACAAATAATATGTCCAAACAAATTCTGTCCCAATTAAAAATTCAGTCCATTCTTAATACAAATTAGTCATTACAGTAATTTCTGATCTAAAAATAAAGCACAATTTGCAACATACTCAGTTTCACACAATGCCTGAACATAATACTGAAACCATACCTAGACTTTCAAGTGCCTTACTTTGTGCTCCTTGGAATTATCCCTGTCTCACTCCAAAAACTGACTTTAGACCCTGGAAGCCACCAGGAGCCTCCTCCTGTGAGCATTCACAGCTCAGAATGACAGAGTGACTGCTGTCCTCTTAATCTCCTCTCTGTGATAATGAACCTCCAATATTCAGAAGCAAAAACCTCTTCCTTTAGTGTTTTTCCTAAAAAAAACCAAATATTGGAACATTAATTGAAAGGGAAACTATCTCAATGACTTATAGTCTGTATGGTATAAATAAAGTTTCATAGTTTAAGTGGAATTTGATGCTCTCCTCATACTCACACCATTCTCACCATGCTGTATATGCTGCTACACCAGAGGTGAATGTATACATTTAATGACTAAAACATTAAGAAATTCAAGATGAATAAATTAATAGGTATGACTAAGAATTATTAGAAAAATTACAGCTGGTTATGTATTCATTTGTTTCACTTATATTTTAAAATATATTTAAAATACATGTGAAATTTAGGCATTATTTCCACCCCTCTGGTTTCCATTCCTAGGGAGATTTAAATACAACTACCACCAAATCTAGTAAGCATCTATGATATGGATTTGCAGAAGGGCTTCTGCTCTGAGTGATTTTCTTTCAATGCCTTTTCCACAGACAGTGCTATTTAGCTGCAAGAGAAGCAGTTTTATTAAAAAAAAAAAAAAAAGTCATGTGGGGTGGTGGTCGGGAAGCTCTGTGAGGAAGGAACTTTGAACATGCTTTGATAACATCAAAGCGTGCACTGCTCAGTCAGGGAAACAGATGTCTGAGCAGGCCACTCTCAACAAACAGCCCAAAGAATGAAAGCCTCACTGGCAGGACCTGGCTGTTCAAAGCAATTAAATCAACCATGCAACACACACAAAAGCACAGCAGTTTTAAAACACCTTGCAAAAGCATATTTGCTCCTTCTGTAAGTCTTGTCCATCAGTTGTACATTCAGAGTATTGCATATGAATTCCAGTATTCCTCTCCAAATACAGACTTATTTCCAAAGGTATTATTCAGTAGCTGTGCTGCCAGGCTTGAATACCCCATCAGCAACTAATTTTCATTTTGAAGGTAAGAACAGAGAAAGTTTTATGCCTGTGATCATTTAAGTAATTTAAGGTTAATTTTAGGGCTTTGCCTTAACAAGGTTAACACAAAAACATCTATTCTTATCATGCAGTTAGACCTGTGTCAAAACTGAGAGGGGCACTTTGACAGAGCAGAGACAGTACAAGTACTTTTTGGTATGACAACCCCTTTCCAGCAAAAGCCAAAAATTAAGTAGAAGCAGAACCTGTGTATCCTTTTTGCTTTAAGGGCTCAACAAGTAAATGGATCTTCAGAAGATGATTTCATCAAGTCTATTTATTAATGCATTTCAAGTTTCAAAAAACCTTACATATCTTTGCACAATACTTTATTTTTTGCATTTTTTTAGTAAAAATTTCCAAAGTGAACAAAAAAAGATACTGTATAAAACACAGTGGACATGAATTGACAGTAGTATTTCCTTTTCATTGTCTTGAACTTGCTTTCAGTTTTACCACATCTTGACTTGCAGTGGAGAGTTCAGTGCACATTTCTGTTTTCAGAAAACATTTAACTTAGACTCAAAATAAAATAGGGCAGCATTTGTCTGCCAAAATCCTACCACAGGATAACATTACAGGCAAAAAATTTACATGTTCCAAAGTCTACCACACTCAAGAAGTTACTAAGAACTCTTGCTGAATAAAAGTCACCATTTTAGAAATGCAAACCCACTTCCAACCTTTGCACAGTCTTAAAACAAATGTATTTAAAATGACTTAAAAGCAACTACATACACTTCTACTAGTTAAGATCATTTAGAATTATTTATATAGTCTATTGGACTTGGGGTTTCATGTACAAAATTTGTCTCTAAACCATGTACAAAAAGCTGTATTTTGAAAAAGTTACCACATACTGTACAAGTTTACAAGGAAGAGATTCCATTATATTCTGTAACATTTTTGGCCTTGCTGGCTTGCGTCACATTATGAGAATGATTGTGTAAACCTTATACTCTTAAAAACCAAAACAAAACAAAAATAAAAACCAAACCCAAAACAAACCCAAACAAAGGAAGCCTGTCCAACCTTAGTAAATTTTCTCCTAAGCAAAGCCAGGAAAATTATAGCCATTTGCATCTCTAATTAGCTCGGTGCTTTTGGAAAACAAGCAATAAATACATCACAAGCTTAAACGTTTTGTAATGCCCCCTTTCATCTCCTGCATAGCAGTAAGCACCTTAAGACATCTTTTGTTTCATCTTCAAAAATGCCAATTATTTACATTCGTAATAAAAACTCTGGAATGGGACATTGTGCTGTTGAACTTCACAACTGGTATAAAATGTGGGAAAATTGGTAGTCCTAACTACAATTTTAACTCTGCCACAGTAGCCAGGCAAATCACTCTATTTTAGTGGTTATGAATCAACAGTATCATGCTGAAGAGTTATCCAAATACCTGATAAATTAAAAAAGAAAATAGAAAAAAAAATACAGCTTTTCTTTCTTTCCACATCCCTTAGAACTTAATTACCATACTGTAAGGATATCTGAACAGCCCAAATAAACTGGTTGCAACTTTTAAAAGAAGTTGAATAACAGGCAGAATTTTCTAATAAACCATGGAAATATTTCATCTAACTATTCATTATTTAACTGAATAATCAGACAAATCAAAAATATTTATGCTGAGCTACAAGAAAGACACTTACACATAACATTTTTGAAACCTTCTGACACTTGCAAAGTTTGCAGAACACCTGTTATATCTCTACAAGACCATCCAATCTTGTTTGCTGTGTCTTAGCAGCTGTTGGATAAAGATGAAATGAGCTCGAAACAACTTTGATAATGATAAAAAAAGTGTGATTGGATTCAAAACTGCTGTGTAAAGCATCACAGGATCCTTGACCACTACACACCATCATCCTCTGTTATCCTGAGTATGTCAATTAAACAGTAATTTCTTCATTAATAGCGGAAAAGTTTTATAATACAAAGAAACATCCATATTGCAATTCTCTTGTTTACAATTGCACACAAGTACGGGTGTACGTTAGAAATACATGTCTGCATATAACAATGTATATACATTGACAGGTAATGTCTCCAATGCTGAGGTGGTCTAGCTTCCTAGCCTGATCTGGCAGTTGAAAAATAGATATTTTCCTCAATTCTTGAGTAAAAGTTTTACTACAGCCATATTTGCCTGCAAGTGAAGAAAATGCAGCACTGAAGAGCACAGAAGGGGGAAAGAATCATGATATGCTAGGCCTTTGTGCCACTAAATCAAAAATATGCAAGAAAAATCACTTTTCTTCTTCTGGAGCTGGAAGATTCGCTCATTAAAAATTCACCACTTCCACTTGTTTTGAGGGCACATCATGCCTTTTTTTTTTGTCCTCTTCAAATTTTTGAGAGTTAGACTGGGGACAATGACTTATTAGGTTTTCTTTGGAGCGAGTTTTCCCATTGTAGGCACTAGGAAGATCCAAGGCAAAAAGCTGCAGTCAACGTCTCATATGTCCCATCTGATAACTCTCTCGGGGCCTTTGCCGCTGGGGGGGCTGAGCGGTTTGTGGTGGTCTCCTCCTTTTTAAAGTGCCTGTTTCAAAGAAAAGGTATTATTAAAATTAGTTAAAAAAAAAAGTCATTTCCAGAAGAGGAAAATGTAAAATGTAAATTAGACATAACTATTTTTTCTGAAAGGCTTCGGTTTTGCAAAATTTTAAACAGATGATTAACTGCACTGTACTTACAGGATACATTTCAGTGTCGCAACAGTAGTTCCTTAAACAGGCCAATTCTTACAAAATGTAGCATGGAATAGGAAATGAAAGGAACTCT